ATTTGTTGTAATAATTCTATTTCCGAATTAAGCCAAATAGAATTTGGTGATCGATGTAACTTGATCCATCCCCAATAACTATCATTCACTTTTATTTCTGCAGATAACATGGATACGTTTTTGCAAGTATCTGCACAGTATGTATTAAGTAAAATGTCTATTCCAGAATTATTTAATAATTTTTGAGAAGGGAGATTTTGTGAATATGAATTTGATGAATGTGAATTCATGATTGTTTTTTCTTGGAATGGTTCAGTTTTCGATTTTCTATCTTCATATAAAGCAACCAATGTGCGATTTGAAGATTCAGATGGTTCACATGAAATAATAAATATTCTTTCACATTGTAACATTCGATGAACTTCTTTGAGAACATTTGAAAGTGTATCTTTTAGGTCAAGCCCAGAACAGATCTTGTTTGAGATTGAATATAGGAATTGTTCTATTTCCTTTTGTCTAAGTTGTTGGAATGATATTTTATGCCGAAGATTTGAGAGTTCAATATTAGCTCGAATACGTGCAATTAGTTCTTGAACGGAAAATGGTTTACTTAAATAATCATCTGCTCCTTTACCAAGTACTAAAATAAATTTATAAGAAAAAATATGTATTTCCTATATATAACGGTAAAACAAAATCATAATGTTTATTATAAGTAAATTGAATACCTTTGATACTAGATTCTTCAACTTTTGCAGATATTAAAATCACAGGAACTAGTTGGGTTTTTACATCGGATCTTATCATATCCAATAATTCATATCCATTTATATTTGGCATCATAATATCTATTACGTAAATTCAAATTACATAATTATTTAATAATTGTATATAACATACTGGTTTAAATAAAAATGCTGCAATATACAGTATTTACTTGCCACTAAGAATTAGATCCGGTGCTTTATCAAGCTCTTTTAAAATTCGAATTGCATCTCGGTCATTATAAGCACAAAGAACATTAAATTCTCTTAATAGGTCTGATAGATAATTTCTATAGTAAATAATAGGGGGAAAAAATGAATAATTTCCAATGACTATTGCCATAACAACCATAATAGAGAAAAATTCTCACTGTACCGCATATCAGCATTGTCATCAATGAGCAAAATTTGATATTTTTTACCAGTAGTAGTCGCAGAATTATTTGTAGAGAAAGGAAGCACAACTTCTCTCGTCGTTATTTTATCAATATCTATGTTATTGTCACTTATTAATTTTTTATTTATCATATTATTTTGAATTTCAAATGAATTATTCTGGATCCATTGAGAGTTTTCTTCTAAAAAAAGTTGTCTGTTTGAATATTTTTGGTCGCGATTTGTTATATCTTTTTCGACAATGTCATTATTGTATATTTGATTTACTGATAGGTGTTTACATCCTGTTGGAAACCAGCATTTAAATGTAGTTCCTTGATTAACTACTGAAGTCACAGTTATATCCCCTCCATGACGTGTAATAAATTCTTTGACAAGAGCGAGGCCAATCCCGGTACCTTCATAACTGCGGGATTTTTGAGATTCCATACGATAAAAGCGTTGAAATATATTTGGAAGTGCAGTTTCTGGAATACCAACCCCTAATTAGTTGAAGTTATGTAAGTACTAAAGTATATGATGTATACATCTACACATGTAACGTTTATAATGTATTAACCTGTATCTGACACTTCAAGAACTATCACCTTTTGCTCATCTTTGTGATCAAGATATAAATGAACACGAACGCGCCCCTTCAAAGTGTTCTTTAATGCATTTGAACCTTTAAAAAAGTGAAATGAAAATTAATATAATACTATGCCAAGTTTCACACATTTCAAATAATATAAAATGCTTACAAAGATTAAGTATAATTGTTTCATACATAGCATGATCTAGGTAAACTTTGTCATTTACAATTTCATTGAATTTATCTGGGTTTGGAATATCGACAATATATTCTAAACCTAATGTTTTGGCGATGCTTTCAAAATTCATGGCTAATTCTTGAGTAAATTTAGCTATATTTGTTTCGAAAAAATGCATTTCTAATTGACCAGTTTCTACATTTGAATACTATGTAAGAAATGAATATCCTTTTTAATACAGTATTTTCGAAACCAATCATATTAATTAATATAGAGGTGTGTATATTTATAAACTCACTTGAAGAAAATTATTGATGAGTTTAAGCAATCTACAGGCATTGCGTCGTATAATTTGAAGATATGACTTCATTTGCGTATCTTGTGAACATACGTTAATTAGTTCATCAAGTGGTGAAAACATAAGGGTTAATGGTGCTACAGTAATAACATGGATAAAATGTAAGTTATATATATATATAAATCCGTTTGCATAACACATTAATAAATTTATTATTTATAAAAATGAATCAATACTTTTTAATTCGTGACTAATGTTTTGGAAAAACATGTTTTGTTGATGATTTAAATCAGCTAATATTCTTGAACGTTTTCTTTCTTCTTCTATTGATCTTCGATGCATCAAGGCTGTATCCACACAACTTACAACTAACTAATAAAATATAATCATTAAGTAATGAATAGTAACTCAAGCAATTATGCTTTTAATTAATTTTAATATTTAAACAATAATATTTCATACTTGTAAGAAATCCATATATTGATCATCAAATCTGCGAAATGGATTAAGACCAAAAATCAATATAGCCGATAAGCTTTGTACTTTACTAAATAAAATTGTTGTCGGTAAAAGTACTGCTTGAGAACCATTTTCTAAAAGAACTCGAACATGTTTTCCTTCCTTCATTACAAGGTGGATGGGCCAAAAATTACATTTTAAGAGCGAATTAATTGAAGTTGAATTTTGAATAGTGCTTTTGGTTAATTCAATTATTTCATGTGTTTTTGGAAGATAATCAGGAATATTCCTTTTTAATCTTCCCTGAACAAGCTCTTCATCAAAGGTCGTTGAAACGAGACGGGCAATTGAAGATTTACGACCATATTTTGACCCATTGTTATTTTCGACAAGGTAAATTAATGCATATGGAATATCTTTATTGTCATTTTTTAATTTTTTCGTTATAATGTGGCAGACACTTTCTAAGGATTCTGCATCTTTAATGAATATTAAATACAATATAGGTACGTGTTAAATAATAATATCTCGTGATATTTATGAATCAAAATTTACTAACCAGCAATCTGGCATCCAAGACCTTCAAGCGTTTTTAACCTTCGAACATTTAAGACTTTTTGAGTAACTTCATTTGTAATATTAATAACGCCCCAAAATGTACCATCTAATTTAAAAATAGGACTAAATGTGTAGTCAAAGTACGCCTCTTCTATATAGCCATCACGCTGAATTTCTAGATAATAATTATTTTCAAGAACGCCTTTTCCAGTTACTTTTACCCTATATAGATTAAAAGAGATATTTATATAAAATTTT